GTGATGGTTCGCGTTTCCACAGTTCGTTGTAAGCCATCCAGCAGGTCGGGTAGTTTTCCATGTAATGTACCGTGCCATCCATGTACTGTACAAGCCTGAGAGCATGTTGTGCAGCATATTGCGACCATGAAGCGTGTTTTGTTATGTTTTGTGCACTGTGACATCAAGAGAGCATTTTGTTCTTATTGTAGTTTGCCATGTACTGTACTTTTACATAATGTACAGTACTGTGTCGGGAACAAAGCAAACAGTGTGGCATTGTACTGTGGACAGTTACTTCCTTGAACGTCGTGCCTGAGTTTGTAAAATGTAAAATAGTCTCATTAAGTCCATATATATTCTACATCAGTTTACAGGAAAAAGATCTCTTCCTTGTATTCAAATCAGCAACTCATTCATATTAAAGATGTCACTTTGCTGAGAGTAGATGCCCTTAGATAAGTCAATGTCTACGAGGTGAGCATCCTCCGTCACCGATAATAACGGCATGTGGTGTGATGTGTTTCCAGGTGTTTCCCACATTATTCATCTTGAACACGTGACTGCCATGCGTACTGCTTGGCTTTATTGCAACAAAGTTAGTAAATGTACCTGCAGAACGAGAAAAATGTCCATAATATAAGACGAGTACATGTATATGGATGGCAATTTCTTCTTTATTGTGCCATCAAAAGAGTATTTTGTGCTTATGTCTATCTTTATATAACTATATCGTGTCATCGCACCTGGCCCCGAGTTCTCGAAACAAGCTTAAGTCTGAGTTTTGACTTAAGTTAGACTTTTTACTCAAATTTGAGAAAACGCAGGAAAATGCATTTCCCAGAATGAACTGAAATCAATATTAAACTTATACATAGTAGACAATTTGACTTGGTGGATAGATTACTGAAGTTGTTTGGGCCTTTTTATTTTAAAAATTGCGGCTGAGTTAAAAAATCAGCTGTTTCAAATTGTCAGACTCAGTTTGAAATTTGAGTAAAAACTAAAGTTTTTTTCGAGAAATCGGGGGCCGGGTTCCTGCAGCAACCAATGCTTATTTCATCTGGAATATTACAGAGAGCAGCTTTAAACAAGAATACTGAAGGCAAATCATAGCATACAGATTTGAGTGACAACACTTATTCCCTTTAACAATGTTCACGCAATCAATGTCGAAACATAATGCCCTTATCATAATGAAAGGAAGACGTTTATGCTCTATGCTCAGCCTTTACAGTGACATTATACAATGTAATATCAGGAAACGTCAACGTGCAAAGAAGCGTAAGATTACCAGAACCTAACAAAATGATGTTTCGCAAATGGTCAAATATTTCCAAGATTCCTATTTCTACTTTGTTATATTTTTTGTCTCAGTAACTATTAGTATTAATGATAGATATAAGATGAGCATGCTTATGCTTTTTGGTTTTGCAAGTAAATGGTGAACATGGCTACTGTCTATGACGGTGTCTTCGCAGGAAGGCGACTTTTGGGGCGTGTAGACACATGGGCCGTTTTTCGTTTTCGCCCTCGTGCGAAAAGGGGATACATTTTCAGCAATGGGTTCAGATGTTTACGCAAGAACCCTAATCCCAGAGGATGTCTATGCTATCTGGTTGCCTCGTTAGTAATAAAAACATGTGCTTTGGTGCAGGAGGACTCCCCATTAATCCCCATGGTGGTATAGTAGTTTTTGTTTAATCAGGTGCTTCGATGTGATTTGATGTTTTAGGCTTGTATATGTCATGCAACCCAAGCTCGAATCTCCTTCATGTATGTGATACATGACGCCAATTGCATGTGTCCCCAGCGGTGATATTTAAGGGCAAAACAACAAAGATAGGTCCTGATACGATAAGTATCACGATACGATACATATGACTATTCACGTCAAAGTGTGTAGAAACATCTTTTATATAAAAAAGCAGGATCCAAAAGAAAAGCTAGCTCCAGACGCATGTCATATGTTTTTTGGTTGGTTTTAATAAACTTGAAACTTCTGTAGACGAGTATAAATAATTTAGTAAGTGAACGACTATACTGATACATAAAGTATGTGTCGTGTCTCATATTGCCGCATGAGATGCACGATGCACCCTTGCACGTTGTTTCGCTCCCAGTGATACTGATGGAAAATTGTTGAAGCGATGTAATGTTGTTGAAGCGATGTACAAGATAAGAAAGTAATATGTAAAAGATATTCATCAGAATCTTTTTTTTCGTTTCTTTTTTACGGCTAGAGAAGATCCTATGAGGGTAAAATATTCTATTTCAATGAAGTAGATTGATTCAAATTCTGCTTTGATACGTCCGAGTGAGTGATTAAAGTATCTGATTTTGTGAGTGATTTGAAACCAAGCCAACGGTTGCTCTAGTTGTGTGTGATGTAAACTGTCTCACCCTCTGTTGCTTCCAGGGCAAATCAAAGCCTCAGGTAGGAATGAGTGAGTAAGGTTTTACGCTGCTTCTCCAACAAGATCACGGGGAGGGACACCATAAATGGGCTTCACACACATGTGGGGAATTGAACCCGCGCTTTCGGCGTGACGAGTGACCACAAGGCTACCTCACCACCCCTCTCAGTAAGGTAGAAGATCTTCTATCAGACCGATGATGCAGATGACTTTGCTGAGGAAGACCCAAGCATTCAAACATCCGAAAGTGTACTTGTGAGGACAATAGGAATGATAGACAAACATCTGTCCAATTCTGTTGGCTGTTGTTGGTATTTTCGGGGACATGTGTGTCTTGTTTGCATTTGATTTGATTTTTAAAATTCGATTTTTTTAATTTGGGAGCCAAATTAAATTCACCTGAACGTCACGTGTGGCGCCCGCGGGCCTGCAACGGCGTCCGTCTGTTACACCAGGGCCCTCCTTGACTTCCAACCACGTTCTGCAACGAACTGTCCCACATTTAGCCCGCAATGAAGACCCAAATTTTCACGTCTGCCACAAAGATTATGTTCAAACAGTCTACATGCCTTGTGTACGGTATGAGAAACTAAAATGAATAAATGGGTTTTTTTCCGTCTATTATAATTCGTGACAATAATGTAAAACCTTGTCCGAGGAGAAAATTGTATCGGTCGTGTTTATTGGACAAGCTGAATTGTCCTCCACTTTCCATGGATAGAGTGACTTGCACGTGCAAATCATTGACATTTAAGTGGCAGGTGGTTTTCCTTTTTGACAATTTGAATAAAACATATGCCATTTGTAACAGACTGTATCTGACGAGAAAGAACTCAATAATAACATTTCAACGGCCTGGTGTGTTTTTCCATACTTAGAACATTCAGCTGTATATGTTTTTAAACAAAAACGAAGATTTTTAAGAAATAGAGTTACCCATAGCTTGACCCTTCATTAATGACGCTTAGTATATACTATTATGGTAGAACAGTCTACCTGATGGAGGGGAGAGAGCTAGAAATTAAAACCCATTTGACCGGAACAGGTTGAGTATTGGGCGGGTAGTCAAACTGGGAGTAGTCATTATGGGAGTGAAGAGATATGTGAATCATGCTGGGTGGCATTAAATGACACTAATTTGTCAAATCCTAAGTCACATGTTCTCAGGATGTAGCTGGACTGTTGCTCAATGCAGCTGGGAACAGCGAACATGATTTCAGTTTGCCATAACTTATGGTTGGTTGGCTCAGAGGTTTCGACTGTCGCCTTTTGCTTGCTGTTGGTTTGAATCGGAATAAGATCCTTGGCAAGTGAGCAATAACCTGCTGCTTTAGTGGCGACCGTTTGCGACTTGATCTACTTAATTATTTTGTTATGTCACAACATGTCTGCAACACAGCCAAGAGCAGTGTTAGCTACATGTTTTAACCCCCAGACCAAACACCAACCACATGTATCTACTCTTGTGGAAGCCGCGGTGGCTGAGCGGTCTAGGCGTCAGACTTTGTGTGCTGGCGATTAGGTGCCTGACTCTGAGGGTGTGGGTTCGAATCCCGGATGGGACTCAACCACAAAAAAGTACTAGAATCTGTACTTTACTAAGAAAGTGTAATCCCAAATATAACATATGTTATACTCTACAATGGTCTTTGGAGTATATTTCTGAACATTAAAACAGTGATGTTTTATCCTGAGTATGTATTGAACGTGTAACGCTTGAAAGTGCTCGGGCGTCGGAGAAAGTAACCTGCACTACCTGACAGGGTCCCTTTAATGTCCCAAGAGAATAAACATTGTCTTCTAACCACTAAACGAGGACAAAAGAGGTGAGTGAGTGAGTTTAGTTTTACGCCGTTTTAGCAATATTCCCTGCAATATCGAACCCGGGTCTTCCGCGTGACGAGCGAATCTTTAACCACTAGGCTACCACCACCCAACAAGTAGGGGAGATGAATGTATTAGAATATAGAGCTGGACATACGCTAAAGAACCAGCTTTCTCACTGGTATGAGATAAGGTATATCAACACAATGCATGGTGAAAGTATGCGATAAAACTGATAGTGAATATTGTTTGTGGACAAAGCATTTCTGAAGGAAACCCCAAAACGATATTCTCCAGTTCCAGAAATATTAGCGTTATGATAAGTAGGGTGCAACAGCGTCTTTCAGTACACGTACAACCCGTGAAGATCCGGGTTAGAATTGATCTTCAGTAACCAATGCTTGTCGTAAGAGGCGACTAACGACATCGGGCGGTAAGGCTCGCTGACTTGGTTGACACATGTCATCATATCCTAAATGCGTAGAACGATGCTCATGCTGTTGATCACTTAATTGTCTGGTCCAGACTCGATTATTTATAGACCGCCGTCATATAGCTGGAATATTGCTGTGTGTGGCGTTAATCAATCAATCGATCAATCAGTAAGGTCATTGTTTGTGCTCCAGGAATAGACAATAGTTTGTCCACAGTACTAGTGTGACCAACCAGCATGCCACTTCAACCCTTGGTGTGTCTTTTTTGTATTTGGACAATTTTTTTCAATTAATTTCGATTTATTGTCGGAACACTGTCGTAGAAAAACAAAAGCATAGTGTTAGAAACTTTTTTTCTGAAATGCTTTTTATTAATTATAACATGAATATCTTGCAAGATAGACATTTGTAGTGGGAGCTCAGATCCTTGTGTTTCTTTTCAGCAATGTTCTGAAACAAAAACAAAATTATATGTATACAAATTCGTATAGTTGCCAAGGAACATCAGTTTGGTCGAAATCGGTTTTAAAGTTAAATTGTATCAAACGGAGGATCATATTCTGAAGAAATGCTGTAATGTATTGTAACCCCGGACATAACTCGTCATTTTGAAACAAGAATAATCAAAAATAGTCATAAATATGTGACGGAATGCAGTAGAGGAACACTATAACAGATTCACTGCCGTGTCATTAGGTGGAAAGTCTATCTTTATTGTTGAGTTTGCTACGGTGTGAAAAGTGAGTGTTTAATTTTCACTGTTGAGACACGATTAAAAGTCCCAGTGGTATCGAGTGTAATTGTAATGTTCAGTGTTGACCTGAATAAATGGATAGTATTTCATACTGTGCCTCTGAATGAAAAGCTGCTATTGGATGTTGATTGTGCAATTGAGTAAAATGTTAGCATTTGAGGTTCAGGATTTTGTCAGACATCTGAGTCACTGAGTGTTGTGCTATTTGGTGAAATGATTGGATTAAATGTTGACCGAGGCATTCAGTGAAATGTTGGTATTTTATGTTGACTGTGACACACAGTAAATGGATAGTATGTCATGTCAGCTCTGTCACTGAGTGAAAAGCTGCCAACTGATGTTGACGTGGCACAGAGTAAATGGATAGTATGTCATGGCAGCTCTGTCATTGAGTGAAAAGCTGCCAATTGATGTTGACTGTGGCACAAATTAAATGGATAATATGTCATGTTGACTAAGCCATTGAGTGAAAGTTTGCCCGTCAGTCAGTGAGGGAAATATGAATCATTAGTGCTCATAGAGCATTATTGTAGTTGTTATGTTATTGAGTGATGGGGTAGAATTTGGTGCTTTTGCACATTATTGGAATTACACACTTGATATTGTCGATGTACGTACGGTATCAGGCTTAGCAGTATGGCGGAATGTCGAAGACGGTGATGTCCCTGATGCCGGGATAGAAGTCGTTGTACCCGACAGTGTAAACAGAGTTTCCTCCTGGGGGGAGAAGATATTTCACAGTTAACAATTTATCCTTGTTGTTTCTCGTCACAAGAAGTTATACTATAGTCACATCAACGCTCACCTTCAAGCAGAAAGGTGTTGTAAGGCAATAAAGATCTGAGTTTAAGGAGACTGCTTCAAAGCATATCTAGAACCTCATCTATTCTGTACGAAATGACAATCGCACTCTTTCTAAACATTCAGCTCACAGACAGCGATAATTCTTATGCTCTGTTCAAAGCGGGCATTTACATGCGCTCGTCTTGGAGCCCACAAGGGAAAAGGAAGAGAGGAGGGCCCAGGAGTACCTGGATGCGGAAGCAAAGCTGATAGGAAAGACCTGGAAGGAGATAGAGCATTTGGCCCTGAGCCGTGTTAGATGGAGAGTTCCGGTCGATGCGGGCGAATGGCCTAAGTAAGATCACTCACAAAATCATCCACTCACTACAGTGTGGTCAGTCACCTTCTCAGCTCCACTCTCTAACTATGCAATACCAACCTGGACCGCCGGTTATGGTCGCGCAGATAACTATTGGTACGCAGTCATCCTGTGAGACGGTTGTGACGACGTTCTGAAAACTCCCGTCGGGGGCGGTGCTGTTGTAGACGTACGCCTGTGAATTCAACCTGCTCTGATTGTAGCCGTAAAACAAAGGACCCACAGATTCAGCGCCACCTGAGATAAAACAGTATTTCAAAGACAATTTCATCTATGGTGTATGAAAAGTGGAAAAGTCCCGAAAATATCATGAAAAGTAGTTCCAGGCCGTATCGAATGATTGACCATGATATTTTCCAGCTCAGTTGTCTTCGTATGTTCATCGTTCGTGATTCTACGATTCTTCTGAGTCTGGACCATGTAAACCAGTGGTTGATAACATGATGACATACAATCAGTATCTCAATAACAAACGTTCACCGACCGTTATTAGTCGACTTGTCACAGCAAAAATAACTTGGTTTCCGCAATGCGGAAACTTGATAGAAAGTGGACTGAAACTGAAACGTTTCCACCTAGAATATAGTGAGTTTACGTTCTTTTACATTGAGTTTCCGTAATAACGGAAATTTACAATTGCCCACTTTCTAAGGGTTTCCGTTACCCACACTCCAACAGTTTTCCGCAAGGTTTCCGTGGGACCTTCAAAGGTGACTTGGGACATTCTCTGTTCGAAGTCTGATCACGGGATAGAACATTCAAACATTTGTAGATATAATCTGAAATGACTTACTTGGAACACAGACATACTGCTGATCCTCGAAATTACCCTCAACGGGAAACTTTGTGCAGGTACGTGCCTCTGCATCAATGCTGTAAGCAATCCTCTGCAAACAAATAGTTATTATTTAGAAATAATAAAGAAATCAGTCTTCGTGACACAACCATACTCATCATTATTATCACCCAATATGAAGAAGTATTTCATTTTTATTACACATAAAGGGCCAATGGGGTAGCCTAGTGGTTAAAGCGTTGGCTCGTCACGCCGAAGACCCGGGTTCGAATCCCCACATGGGTACAATGTGCCCATTTTCTGGTGCCATTTGGCGGCATAAAACCAAACTCAGTCAGTCAGTATTACACAAAAAGGTGAAGGCATATAGAATAGCCTTGAGTGAATTTAGATATAGTAAATATAGTTACAAGCAACGATGTAGGCTCCTTGGCTTTAGTTTCATCTAGCCTATTGTGTCTTTCACATATCTGATGAAAGTAGTACTAGTTTTAGTTAATATGAATCATATCACTGCTAGTCGAATGCTCTTAAGTTTCGATAAATTCATCACAAAAACTTTTTTCTTAGATACCAAAAATATATAACTTGGGTATCATGAATCTCTAAACACAGAAGAACACTTTGTTCAAATAGCTATCTTAATTACCTCTAACAATCACGAAGACGATATGTACCAAACGGTGATACTTTTCACATGCACCGAAGAACAGAAACTGATCAGCTAACGTTTGAGATACATATGGCCACATTTCATTGTGTACTCTGGAGAACCTACGAAGATAGCAACTAACGTGTGGAAAATATAATTTCACTTGTCCCTCTGTTTTCTTTGGAGATACATTACTGCAATCGGTAGTTATAATCGACACTAATAGCCCACTTGTACAGGTACATTTTGGTCGAAATTGGACGGATGGTTTCAGAGTTACGGATGTTTGAATTGTATTTGAGGGCTAGAAATCGTCCAAAATGGAGCCAGAACACGTTTTTGACAGGCGAGCGGATCTTCCAAATATAGCGGGTCGCGGGGGTCATGTACCTTTTTAAGAAGTTCTGGAGAAGAAATAGTTCGCTCTTTGAAAGGCGGTATCTCAGTTGTTCTTCGGTCTACGGTCAAAACAATTAGTGTTCTGGAATCACCAAGACTTTATCCTGGCACGTTTTGTGCAGAATTTGCACAATGGTTACTGAGCCTCAGTTATGAGAATGTCTAGAGCCGATGGTTCGAGCTCAGCACTTTTTGGGAACAAACTACTCAGGAAAATGCTGAAAAACATCGCCAAAAACTGAGAACAAAAATAACTGCCAAACGGTACATTTTAGCGACTTGACCCGTGCACTCAAAATTGTTGGGAATTAATTCTTAATTATCTCCCCCTTGCTATTGGGTGTAGAGCCTAGAGATTTTTAAGGGGGATATCTACACCTCGGTGGGCATCTGTGTGATTTTTTTGTAAGCGATTCGGAGCATTAGTTTAGGATGTATGTTTGGTACAAAATTCGGCGGAATAAAAAATAATAATAATCCGAACGATTACAACAGGTCTCCTGCCTAGAGGCAAGGGGCCCTAATTATGGAATAATGATTGAAGAAGGTAGACAGCAAAACATTAGAACGTTAAGACAACGTAAATACGTTAGCATTAAATAACTTTAACCTTGTGGCGACGTAAAAATGACGTATATCAACGTCAGGCCACACAGAATAACGTTGTAACAACGAAAGCATAACCGAAATTGTTAGCTGGGATACTGGGTTTTTATGTGTTGTAATATGGGCCGTCGGCCTAATCACGGAAATAATGTGAAGTAAAATACAAAAACGTATATGCCAGGGGGGACCAATAGTAAAAAGTAAGGAGGCTTAACCTCGCATGAAAACATGAGCGTGAGCTTCATTGTGCTTGTCTTCCGAGTCACAGTGTTACAATGCATCATGGATTGAGTCGAAAAGGCCGTTGGGGATCTTCCTTACCTTCTTGTAGTCATAGATCACTTTGGTGGTCCCGACGAATTTGTTGCTGCGGTCGCCGGTGATGAGATATCTTTGGTTGACACCGTCGTAAACGATGAAATACAAGGCCTGAAAAGAAATCAAAACGCCGCATTCTTCATTTCGCTTTCAAAAATCAGTTGTGTTTTGGAAAAACCGTGTCTAAGAGGACGTGCTGTTCAATGGCAGGTTAAAAACACACGATTCGTTCCTTTTCCCATAGTTAATATCTAATGGCATGACATGATATATTACTTTTTTTGCTAAGTTTAATTGTCAACGGGTCATAAAACGAAGAAATATTAGTATTGTTATTCCAAATTCTAAAATGCCAAATTGCGCTCAATTACCTTCTTAATGTCATGGGTCAAATTACTATTCAGGTCAAGTAAGTAAGTGAGCGAGTTTAGTTTTACGCCGCTATATGGCGGTGGTCTGTAAATATTCTAGTCTGGACCAGACAATCCAGAGATCAACAGCATGAGCATCGATCTGCACAATTGTAATACGATGAATGTGTCGATCAAGTCAGCGAGCCAGACCACCCGATCCCTGTAGTTGCCTCTTACAACAACCATGGGTTACTGAAGTTCAATTCTAATCCGGATTATCATAACGTAATAACAACGTTGCAAATTTACGTTGAGGAAACGTTATGCTTTGGCCTCCGCACAACGTTATAACAACGTTTCTTATAACTTGGTGTCACGATAGAATTTTCTGTAAAACTTTTCACTTTGAGATTCTTTCTTCACTATTCAGCTACAGCTTCAAAATACACACGACCAAACAACATCCAAATTGACGACTAAACATTGAAGAGAATTTCTGCTTTGTTTTCTTATGTACTGTTCATTACTGGGAAAACTATTCAACTATGAACGTTGAATAGAACGTTAAAATAATGTAAAGTGCGATGGCATGAAATAACTTTATCATTGTGACGACGTAAAAACGGCGTACCACAACCTCAAGCCACAACGTTGTGACAACGTAAATGGGAGTCCACAGCATAACGATGTAACAACGAAAGCATAACGTTGTGACAACGTTGTGACAACAACGTGAAATTGTTAGCTGGGGATAGAGGCTATTGAGAAGAAGAAGACAACAGAGGATATTGGTTTGAAGCACAGGCAAATTGTAGCGCAAATAGGGTTGCGCAACAAAGAGAAAATGACAGTCTTCCTAGACTGGTCATTTTCTCTTTGTTGCGCAACCCTATTTGCGCTACAATCTGCCTGTGTTTGAAGCAAATACCACCTGTTTTGTGAAGGTCGGTATTTTCTGAAGAGAAAAATCGATTTGTGTGTGCATCATGCCTATGTGCACTGTTTTTAGGCCAATGTGCGAACTATTACACCACATCAGTTTATGAACGATTGCTGGGCAACAGCTATGTGAAACATTTAAAGTACACACAGTCACACGCCTGTCACTGTAACTTAAGATTAACTCATCGCTCTATCGATCAACGGTTGTGTGAAAACACAACACATCAATCAGAATTAGTACTTCGCTCATAGACTTTCTTCCTAGTATGCCTGTGTTAAAAGAAATAGTTTGTATCCAAAAGGCATCCAAGTGAAAGTAACCTTGTAACTGTGTTTACCTTCTGAATAACCGATGATTGATATAACGGCCAGGAATTGCCATTCGGCTTGTTCGGAAATGACACGAGTGATTACGGACGTCTTTCTTAAAGAATATACGATTTAAGATAAAATTCGGAGGAACCTGATTTAATTTTGACATTTATAATGAAAAGTATTAATATAACAGTCATTTGAGTGTTTGACAGACTTTAAGACGTTTTAGAACCTGAAACGTTAATCTGTCATAGCATACAATGTATTGTTTTTTCCGAACTGAAGAACGATGCTGCAACCTGAGATTTTCAGAAGAGATTCCTTCCATATAATTGTTACTGTTCCGTTGAAGCTTAGGCATACCTGATCACTCGGCTCATTCCGAAAGCATTACCTGGAAGTTTACAGAAAGAGAGTGGTAACATATGTCAATCATGGTTGACGGGCTCTGTACTTACGCGCAAAGTAGTCGTGGAGTTGACAAAGGTGACATACTGGAATGCGTTGAATTGCTTGGGTGGACAACAGATGCTGCCACTGACAACAGTCAGACCAGCGAAGAAAAGTGCAGCTTGGAGGATCATGATGGAAGGGTTTCGTTGGAGATGTACCTGTACCAAGTTTTCTGCCAAACTCGTCCCGACGAACGAAATTCGATACTGTGTCCCTTTTATCCACAGAGAGGATTATCACGTGATGCAGCTATAGAGCTAAAATGAATATTTATGAAGCATAAGCTTTTTCCCGAAATGAAACACTCGACGTTTACGTGATAAATTAATAAAAATAAGTAATTCAATGTAACATGCAGACAGAAATATGAAAGACAGTAATATAATTATGTAACAAGGTGATCGCCCTGCGAAGCTTATCATATATATGTGGCTGCAAAAGTGTTACTTAGAACACAGCCATACAATATGTCCTGAATATTAACTATGATTATATTATATTATATTATTATTATTATAAATCATTAACTATAATAAATGTGAACTTCCAGTTGATGTTAACGTTCCATATCCGATTTGGCTCTTCAATGTGTTTATTGTCATGCCAAATGAGTGTGTCACTGAGTGAGTCAGTGAGTGAGTCGTGGCAATGTTCAAAACGTTGCTAAAATCAACTTACTATTTCAGTATACAGATATGGAATAGAAAAGAGTCTTTCTTATATGAAGTCGTATGAGTTACAGAAGTTTCCGAAGGGAAATCACTTCAACCTGAATTGTAACATTGATTGGGCAGGACGAACTTGATGTTTAGTATCAGACTTTAGCAAACATTAGACACATTGCCATGCCACATATGAAGTGAATATCTAAGAGTGTGAGTGAGTGAGTTGAGGTTTACGCCGCACTCAACAATATTCCAGCTATAAGGCGGCGGTCTGTAAATAATCGAGTCTGGACCAGACAACCCAGTGATCAACAGCATTAGCATCGATCTGCGCAATTGGGAACCGATGACGTCAACCAAGTCAGCGAGCCTGACCACCCGATCCCGTTAGTCGCCTTGTACGACAAGCATGGATTACTGAAGGCCAACATTCTAACCCGGACCTTTACGGGTCGAATATCTAAGAAGATATCGAGCATTATATCAGGCATTAGACATTTCCACATATCACGCATAATGTTTGTGAGAGTGTATATCTGAGAATACACTGGTCAGACTATCAAACATATTAAGCTGCGACGTCTCATGTATTAAGTGTATGATGGTGAATATTTGGGAATATATATACAGAATAATATCAAAGATACATCAACACAGATATGAGGTATGTGGCTGCGAGTATCTTGACAGTATACTCAAGTTGTCAGACTATCAGATATATGGTATACCGTCTCTTCACGTATTAAATGTTTGATGGGGAATATTTATGAATATATACGGAATAACATCAAACTTAAGTCAACTCAGTTTATGATGTCTGTTACGGTGAATATATAGACGATATACTTGTCAGACTATCAGATACTGCATCTCTTCAGTATAAAATGTTTGATGGTGAATATTTGAGAAATATGTACGGAATATGAACGGAATAACATCCAACATAAATCAGCTCAGGTATGAAGTGTGTAACGGTGAATATCTTGGGAACATACGTGTCAGACTATCAGATATAATAGAATAATATGACACATTAGTCAACTCAGATAGGAAGTGTGTGACGGCGAATATGTAGAGAATATATACTACCCATCAAAAGTTTAGACTCACTAGTGTAAATGTAGCCACTTACTTCAGTCAAGTGTTCTAAACTAGATTTGGTTAAATATTCCATACTGCTTAAAGATACTGTTTACACATGAACTGGTGTATTGTAAAGCAAGTCCGTAACGTTGAAAAGACTATTGTCATGAGTTCAATAAATCATGAAACTTAGGGAAAATTGGCGAATTCTTAACAAAACTGTTCACATGCACTATTTTTGCACGTTTTTCAGAAAGTTCATGCATGATCCTCGTGCAATTCATCTGTGTTATCACACTCCTCCATGTTCTTGATTGACATTGCCAGCCAAGCAAAGGCAGCTACCGATATTCATATTTCTTAGTTTTCATTGGTCACCTCTCGCGTGTCAGACTTGTTTACGCCATGCTCGTAAATCTCGACGGAAGTAATACATTCAGGCGTTCTGCGCATGTTTGATTCAGCACGTCCGTAATGTAATATTTCTCATTTGATAATGTCATGATAACAGTGAGAATACCATGCAAACGTTTTAGGAATAGGTGAGAATAGCACTATCCAAGTAACGCAGACCTGTGAAGATCCGTATTAGAATTGATCTAGAGCCACCCATGCTTGTCGCAAGAGGCGACTAACGGGATCGGGTGGTCAGGCCCCCTTGACACATGTCATGGTATCCCAACTGCGTAGGCCGATGCTCATGCTGTCGAGCACTGGATTGTCTGATCCAGACTCGATTATTTACAGACCGCCGCCATATATCTGAAATATTTCTGTGTCCGGCGTAAAACTAAATTCAATCAATGAAAATAAGTTTTTACATGTCATCTTCTATATACACACATGGCAAAAAGTCTCGCAACAACCATAACTTTCATAGTATCAGTATGTTACCATTAACTATTGCAAAGGTAATTATAAAAAAAAATCGGAAGGAGACTACCCATTTAATATTTGTCATGATAACAATCACCCCACTTTTTAAACTCTTTTTATCTCCTCTCTCTCTCTTATCCTCCTGGTCTGCTCATCACAGTTTGTCGTAGCTGTATTATTTAGTGAATCTCTTTCGCAACTTTGGTTAACATTCTATGTGAGTAGATTCAGTCAAGTTGATAGCATGAGCGACTGTGACAGAACGATGGCATACATCTTGCAGCTATGAATTACACAATCGTCCCTATTCTGCTTGCTTCATTGAAGAAAAGTGTACTTCACAGAGGTTAACTATATAGAATGTCCACTGGATGAATTTTGCTTTGATACAGAAAAAAAACCCAGTCCCAGCAGGTTTTCATTTCTTCCGTCTGAAACTGTGGGTATCTCTGTTCTCCATTGTGTTTTATGTTAACATATAATATACCAAGTATATCATGGAATCTTTCGAGTTCAGAGACTAACAAAAATTTTGTACAAACATAAACAATCTTTTACATCTTTCTGACACAAGCGTTACAGTGTAAACTGGGAAGTATCATCACTGTAAAGCCCAGATTAAAATTTATGTTATAGTCTGCTTAAAGGTACACGGCTCTCTTTTCTATATTCTGATTCTGGAGTCCCTATTACTTTAACGCCCTTCGTCCGGAGATTGCTACTCCGAAAGGCCAGTGCCTGTCAGGCTGACCAAAATGACGTTTGTTTGTTTCTTGTTTAACGCCGCACGCAGCAGTTTTCAAACTATATGACGGCTGTCTGTAAATAACCAAGTCTGGACCAGATTTCCTAGTGATTGATATCATGAACATCGATCTACACAACTAGAATACGATGACATGTGTCAACCAAGTCAGCGAGTCTGACCGCTATTACGACAAGCATGGGCTGCTGAAGATCAATTCTAACCCGGATCTTCCAGCATGACGCAACCACTGGCTGCTGTTACGTGGATCGCTGACCAAAGTCTGGACACTAAATGCGAAACGTCAAAACTCAACACAAAAGTATGCAAACACTGAAAGACATCACTCATGGTACACATGTGGCGTGCGGTCCTGTGCATGGAACTCGGGTCACAATCAGTTGAAGTTAAGCAACGTTAGGCGCAGAGAGTCTTTGGGTGGGTGACCGTGTATGACTCCTGACAGTTTCTAGGCCTTCAGTCCTGCCCCACAACGAAGCAAATAAGATACATGTGGTCTCACTTTAGGCAAGTGAGTTTGTTAAAAAAAATGACCCTGTTCACCAAGCGGAAAATGGGTACCCGGTGAAATAAGTCGTGAGACTATTAGGCTGCTAGTGCCTAACAGGCAGCTTGGGTTATCCGGGCTAATGGGTACCCGGTGAAATAAGTCATGAGACTATTAGGCTGCTAGTGCCTAACAGGCAACTTGGGTTATCCGGGGTAATGGGTACCCGGTGAAATATAAGAAATATGTGTACGGATTATGAACGGAATAACATCCAACATAAATCAGCGCTCAGGTATGAAGTGTGTGTAACGGTGAATATCTTATGAACATAAATGTGAGACTATCAGGGATATAATAGAATAATATGACACATTAGTCCAACTCAGATAGGGGTGTGTGACGGCAGCGAATATGTAGAGAATAATATTGCTAGCGCCATCAAAGTTTAGACTTATCACTAGAGTAAATGTAGCCACTTACTTCAGTCAAGTGTTCTAAACTAGATTTGGTTCAAATATTCGCTTTACTGTGAAGATACAGTTTACATATGAACTGGTGTATTGTAAAAACAAGTCCGTAACGTTGAAAGACCATTAGCATGCTAGTTCAATAAATCAGGCACTTTGGGTTATCACACTCCTCCTGTTGTTCTTGATTGATATTGCTACAGCCAAGCTACAAAGGCAGCTACCGATATTCATATTTCTTAGTTTTCATTGGTCACCTCTCGCGTGTCAGACTTGTTTACGCCATGCTCGTAAATCTCGACGAAGTAATATATCAGGCGTTCTGCGCATGTTTGATTCAGCACGTCCATGTAATGTAATATTCTGTTGATAATGTCATGATAACAGTGAGAATACCATGCAAACGTTTTAGGAATAGGGTGAGAATAAAGTTAACTATCCAAGTAACTGGGCAGACCTGTGAAGATCCGTATTAGAATTGATCTAGAGCCACTCCATGCTTGTCGCAAGAGGCGACTAACGGGATCGCGGTGGTCAGGCCCCTTGACACATGTCATGGTATCCCAACTGCGTAGGCCGATGCTCATGCTGTCGAGCACTGGATTGTCTGATCCAGACTCGATTATTTTACAGACCGCCGCCATATATCTGAAATATTTCTGTGTCCGGCGTAAAACTAAATTCAATCAATGAAAATAAGTTTTTACATGTCATCTTCTATATACACATAATGGCAAAAGTCTCGCAACAACCATAACTTTCATAGTATCAGTATGTTACCATTAACTATTGCAGCTGTAATTATAAAAAAAATCGGAAGGGAGACTA